GACAGGGAGATGGGTTAATTCCTCCCTCCTCCCTTCCTTGCAGCTGGGGTCTGGCAGCTCCAGGGGCCACTGCTGCTGCCCCCTCCCCTCTGCTCCCTGGCAGACAGGCAGACTTCGGCTGTGGAGGGGAAGGAGGGGAGAATTAACCTCCTCTCTGCCCGCTTTGCCTTAATGGAGCCATGCCAGCCAGTGTCTGCTAGGGCTGGTTCCTGTTCCGGCTAGAGAGCAGAGGGGAGGGGCCAGCCCTGTGGCTGGAGCAGAGAGCCCTGTCCAGCCCGGAGAGCATGCTGGGATGCTGGGGGTGTCTGGTTTATCTTAAACCAGCAAGGAGTCTGAGACAGACAATGCATAAACTGGTTTGAGCCAAATCAGTTAAGTCTAATACTACATTCAGCCAGATTTATCTCAAACTGCTTTTGGCCATTTTGAAACTGGTTTCAGTTTCTGATCACTTAAATCGGTCTATGTGTAATGTCTGTCCCTAGCCCAAGTGTTTTCAGAGAAGTGACAAGTTAGGAACAAAAGGTAGGAAACTAAGACGGTGTTTCTTTCTTAAGTCCACAAATCAGTATTTGGGCAATCACTGAAGCAGTGTGAAGATAATCACCTAAAAAAAGTTAGATTCTCTAAAGCTAGTAAGTTCATTAGATCTAGAAAACTTACAAAACAAGCAAACAAAGCCCTCCAAATAAACAACTTGCTAAATGATTAGGGAACTGGAAATGAGAAAAGCTTTAAACATGTTCAGAAGAAAATTCTTGAGACTAGAAAATGACTAAAAAGTCTGTGGTTGAAAGAAAACATTAGGGACGTTTTAATATTGGCTGTACAAGGAGTGTGGTTCCCTTTATGCCAGTGTTTATGGAATAATTTTTCTCCTTCAAATAGTGTAAAATGCTGAGAAATAAAATTGGTAAGGAATGACCAGTCAAACATCTAATAAACATAACTTTCATCTAACCTTAAACTATTTATGTTTTACCTACTTGCGCAGATTGATGTTGAGGAATAATAAAAGGACTTCTTAGATTTCTTTTTCCTCAAATTTTCTTCATTGGTTGGGCCATGTTTTAATATAGCCTGCTCCCTACCTTTCTGCCCCCCTCCCCCAATGTTTGTTTCTTTTATGATTTTGTAACACATCTATGGCAAACACAGTGTGCATTTATACATGTGCTCCGAGGCGGGGAGGGGGGCACTTTAATTAGAATGACTTCGAGAGCTGCCGTAATTAAAGTGCCTGGAGTGTCATGTGTATCGGCATCCCTGCACTGAAAAATGGTGTTAGAGGCACTTTAACTATATTAAATATATCATTTAATCTATAATTCTGGTAAAGTGGGCTTTTGCCTGCAAAAACTTATGCCTCTCTGAATGAGTTAATTTCTGCCCTGCCTTCTGCTGCATTATAAATTATAAATAAAGGGACAGAAATCTCACAAGAATGGTTTTAAGTATCTGTTCCCAACCAGAACCAAAATGTGTATAGAACTCTATATTTAAAAGAAGGCTCCTCTTGAAAGATGATTCAGTTATTCCTTTTTTCTCCCAACCAGTATGGCCACCTTTCATTGCAGACTCTTAATTGCAGATTGTGATAGAGAGGTGTGTAGGATAACTGAAGGCACAAGAACTTAATTCAATGGAAAAATTGCCATTATCTGTAACAAAAGTAGAATCAGACCCTGGCTTTACAACTTAGCTAATTTTCCTGATACATGTCTAGTATCTCAAACTGTTAGGGGGGAAAAAGCACTTTTATTATTTTTTATGTATTTATACCTACTTTCATGGATGTTCACACTGCTGTTTAAGACACATTTTGGCTACTTAGCATAACTATTGCTTCTCTTGCAGATTGGAGTGATGTAGGAGACACTTTTGTAGGAATTTCAGTTTAATGGGTTGCTTTTCATTATGTTTTGTGCTCATGTCAAATAAATGTACATAAAATCATTTAAATTTAATGAAAATGTATAAATCTTGTATGCTTTGCAGCCACAGTGCTTGTTTGTTTATTGTAGCCCTTTGTAGCGGTGAGGTGGATGATTTTTAGAGAGCCCTCCAATAATTATAAATTTGTTACAATTTTCCATGTATAGAATCTAATCTTCTATGCATAGAATCTAATTATTGGGGAGTCATCTTAAATTCAAAATCATTTTGGATTCATGTAATTACAGCATAAGGCAAAGAAAGGGTAAGATGTAATTTAGTTTATTTTAGTTTTTAACCTTCATGTGAAAAAACAGTAAGGCATGCAACTGTGATTGAGGCTAAAATAGTTAACACTGGTGTTTTCAAGAGCTGGGATTTAAAAAAAAAAAAGGGGTGGTGGGGAGTGCTGTTCAAAGGTGGTGTTGTACAACCAGGATTGAACAGCAAATGTTGTTGCTGCTGTCCTGAGTAAGGAAGGCTGTAGTGTCTTGAAAGAGAGGTGTCATGTTATCACTATGTCACCAGTGGTGTGGTTCCTGTTGCTTGTCTTAATGATGCTCAGGAGTCGTAAAAGTGCTGCAGAAGGCCAGCACATAATTTCCCTGGCACAGGCATTGCCTCAGGCCTCTTTAGAGACCCCCCTCTCAAGTTTCATTACAAGGATAGCATCACAGGTGTGTCTATGAATTCAGGATCCTGACAAAAGGAAGAAAGGAGAGCAGCAGAATATGGACCCTGGTCTTCAGAAAAGTGGACTTTGCCTCTCTCAGGGAACTGATGGGCAGGATCCCCTGGGAGACTAATCCGAGGGGTAAAGGAGTCCAGGAGAGCTGGTGATATTTTAAAGAAACCTTACTGAGGGCAAAGGAACAAAACCATCCCGATGTACAGGAAGAATAGCAAATATGGCAAGTGACCAGCTTGGCTTAGCAGAAAACTCTTTGGTGAATTTAAACACAAAAAGGAAGTTTACAAGAAGTGGAAGCTCCATCCTCTTTGCACTTTGGTCTTCCTGATTTCATCCTTGCATGTCCAAGCAGCATGGTGGTGCACTGGTCTCAAGTTGCAGGAAGGGAGGTTTAGGTTTAGGTTGGATATTAGGAACAACTTTCTCGTTAGGTGGATGGTGAAGCAAAGGAACAAGTTACCCAGAGAAGTGGTGGAATCTCTCCATCCTCGGAGGTTTTTAAGACCTGGCTAGACAAAGCCTTGGCTGGGATGATCTAGTTGGGGATGGCCCTGCTTTGAGCAGGGGATTGGTCTAGATGACCTCCTGAGGTCCCTTCCAACCCTAATCTTCTATGATTCTATTGTTTTATAACATATAATAAACAATAATTAATCAAAGCAGTTACATCTATGGGAAGTGAAATACGGTAGCCTTTTATGGATCATCCAATTTCTAGAAATAAATGTTGTTGTGGTCATTTACAGCACTATCTACCATTGTGCTCTTGTTTTTCACATAATAGTAATTCATGGGGCAAGTAGATTTCTATACCCTGACCCTACTGACAAGCTGTTGGTTTCTAATAGCTTCATGCAAATACCTCAAAGTACTTTGCAAAGAGATTATAAACATAAATTTACATTTTACAGATGAGGAAACTGAGGCACAGTTGTGAAATAGCTTGCCTAGGAAAATCCAGCAGGCCAGTAGAAAAATCGGGAAGAGAACCTAGATGGTTTTAATTAATTGCCCTATCTGCTATGCTACAAAACTGCAGTGGTTTGCTGTGGTGGTTCCTTCATGAGGGTTAATTTTGCCACAGAGTGCATTGGGTGTTCCTAGTAAAGGTCTCCAGGCTTTTAGATTCTAAGTTTAGAGGACTTTAATAAGCACTGTAAGATTTAGTTTGGTCATACTTCTGGAAGCATGGTGGATTGAAAAGTGCTCAGTCATTAGGCCTGTTTTGAAAAGTTTACTTTTTTTTTTTTTTTTTTACTTTATGCACTTGGTAATAAAGCTATATAAGCATTCATATTGGTGATGCCATTGTGCTAGTGTCAATTTTCCAGTTACTCTAGAGCTAGACAGTAGAAACTTTAGAAATATGTGTAGTAGAATGAAAAGAGTTTCATACAAAGGATTTATAATTATATAATTTAATAACCTGTGGGCTCATATAGATGCCAGAGTCTTTACCTTAATAGTATGTATATAGTCTGGGGTGTTAGATAAGTTATTTTGCCTCCATGTCTTTGGAACTTGATTTTTTTTCAGACAAGGTTAAGAACCTGCTTTCCAACTATTGGGGGCTTTAACACTGTTTCAAGATCTCTCCCTCCCCCAAACCCCCCCCCCCCCAACCCCCCCCCCCCCAAAACCCCAGTCATTTTTTAAAATTTAGGCCCAAATCCTCCATCTTAATCTGAGAGCAGTATCTCTTGTCTGTTAGTTACAAATAGCCACTAGTGACACACACAGATATAAACTGAAATACTCTAATCAAGTCTGAAGGGTTTCATTTGGTAAAAGGAAACTCTTAAGCACACATGCAAGTCAGATCAGTCAGAGATGTGGTTAACTTCTAATACAGTGGAGATAAGATGTATAGACTTGCTTTTTTAAGGCAATATTAGTATCTGCCATAAAGGTCAGTTGTGCCTGATGAAAACGTCACTTCTTGATAAATTGTGTAATTGGGAGGAATAATAGAAGTAAGATGATTTTCTCAGTCAGTAAAGCCATGTCATTAACTTTTCAGAAAATGGAAGTTTCAGACCTACTGTCAGACCTGTGTCATTTGTGAAGCCACACAACTTTCTGGTGTTCAGCTCTGATCTAATTTAAAACATAAATTGACATCTAATTTTATTGAAATGAAGCATATTTTATATCTTGTAAAGCATATTTACCAAGATAACTGTTGATAGATTTTTAGATCTGATGTGCCTTTACAGAATGGGTAAATATTTAAATAAAACTTTTGAAAAGTGTGGGACTTCTAAATTACTTTAGTATAATAGATGCATACTAAATTGTTGTTATGAATGTAATCTAAATTAAAATGTGTGAAAACTTTTAAACAGTTCAGATTACTTTTTTTCCCCTCCTTTAGGTGTTCAGAAAGGCATTGGTAAAGATGTTTGAAGCTAAAGAACTGGATTGTGTCTTCCTAGAGACAAATATTAGCATAAAGAAACGCTACCACATGGTGTATGAATGCATTCCTCTTCCAAAAGAAGTGGGGGATTTGGCTCCTATCTACTTTAAGGTATTTAAAAAGTACCTCGGCTTCAGTCAGCTGCATGACTTTTTCATATTCCATTCAGTTCTGATTTCAGGTGTTGAAAAACATCCTTTCTGCTGACTGAGACATGCTTGTTGATGTTAAACTGGTGGGTCTATTAGTTCCATTTCAGAAGTAGAGCAGTCTGTGTGTCTCTGCGAAGTCCTAGAATCTGACTCCCCAGTCACCTATCGAAAGAGCAACAAGCTTAATTTTTGAAGAGCTATAGAGACTTGTGATACCATTCAGCTCAGAACCCAGGTCCTACATCTCAGCAGGCACATTAACAGAGAAATATTTTAACATGTAGCAATTTGTAATGTTAAAAAGTAGCAGCTATGTATTATTTTAGGGCCAAACCCTCCATTAGTACCCAGGCTGCAGAAGTGAACTGAGGAGCTCTGCCGTGCCACTTCGCATTGTGGAATGTGGGCAAAGTTGCTCTATGACTAATACTTCAGTCCTGAAGCAGTATTAGTTCCTGTTTTATCTGTGCCTTAGCTCTGAGAGAGCACTGTGTAATAAATATGCCTGTCAATAGCTCCAGTGCTCTACTTCCCTCTGTTCCATAAGCATTCACAGGGGTGGTGTATTTGAGTTCTTCAGTTTTACCTTACAAAGCAGACACTGTATATGGAACCCTCTTTATCTGCAGGGATTGAATCAGGATTTGCCTCTTAGTGATTTGGGATCTTTAACTAGTTTTCATATCTGTAACCTGTTTTATGCAGTTTATCTAAAATGTTTGTGTGCACAAATGCGTATATTTTAATACGGTATAAAATCACATATTGGTTTGTCTCCAGTGAAGTGTAACAACTAATCTCATGAAGATATGGTTGCTTTCATCCCCATCCGAAATGTTCTACCTGAGTGGAATATTTAAATATCAAACTTGAAAACCTCAGAGTATGCTAGTCCAACAGGAGGCTAGCTTACAGGGTTTAGTGCAGAGCCATTTGTACATAGCTAATTTTCTTTCAGAAGTGCCCATTATTCAAACATGCAGCAATTGAAATTTAAATGGTTGGTGACAGTAGGTTCCGTTTCCATATTAGGAGGGCAGAGACATGGCATAATAAGTCTTTGAATATCAGTAGGCTTCTGAAGTTGGATTTTTTTTCTCTTAGGTGCAAAAAAACCCAGTAGAACTTAATGTATTCATAAAAGTAGCTTTTTGTGAGCAGAATGATCAGAATGTATGAACATTTTTTATTCTCTATTAATTTGGGAGTTCTTGTTAAACATAATTTGTGTCAAGCAAAAGTTAAGACTGCAGTTATAAAACTTGAAAAGTAAAAAATTAGCTTGAGAGAATTACTGTAAAATGTTTTAGTTAAGTTCTGGAAATTGCAGAAGTGCCAAAAATAAAGTTACTTCCTTATACGGGAAATGTTTGGTAGTCGCAATGCATAGTATTCTATATACTTCATTTTAATACATAAAAAGTTAGACTTCACTGCTTTCCTTTTGGGGGTTTTTGTTTTACATTTAAATATAATACTTTTACAGAAAGCTATAATGGAATCAGATGAAGAGTGGTCCATGAACAAAAAACTGATTGATATTTCTTCAAAAGACATCCGGAAGTCTGTAAGTATTGGAAGGTTGTTGAATACTATTTATTTACTGAAATTCAGTCATCCTTCTTACTTGTTAGTTGTCTGTGTGGGAGAAAGTCCGCTCAATTAGATGATACAAAAAACTAGAACTCTTGGTTCCTAAATGATGATACCTTTTATTAGACCAAGTGGAAAATGGCAAGAAAATTGTCCTTTTCTGCAAGCTTTTGGGATCAAAGTCCCTTCGTCAGGCTCTGGGAAAAGTGTAGATGGTACAAGATGGTAAAGTCCCCATAGGTAGGAAATAAACTTCATTTTTGCACAGAGGGAGCTGAAGATGGAAGTCTGTCCCTCTGGGTCCATGAGAGTGTCTTTGTGAGCTATGCTGAATAGCTCTTTGATGTGTTGATCAGGTAGAATTCCTTCCCTGGAGGTGTCAGATGGCAGGCAGGGAGGCAAAAAAAACTTCCTTGTTGTTCTGCAATGCAGTTTAAAATCCAAAATCGGCTAAAATTCGGCATCTTCCATGTTTCAGGGGTGTACTTGGTAGCCATGTTGGTCTGAGACAAAAAGACATACAAAAAGCTAGAACTCTTGGTTCCAAAATGATACCTTTTATTAGACCAACTGAAAAATGGCAAGAAAATTGTCATCCAGCGCACAGATCCGGGGGCCACGCCTGCCCAGGAGGATTCCAGCACATCCCCCAGCCCTACCGGTGTTGCGGGCCCCCAGATCTCTGTGCTGGATGACAGCATGGTGTTGCTGCCAGCTGGGGTGGGTGGCAGCACCAATCCTCCTAGTGCTGAGTGTGGACTGCACCCAACGCAAGTCCTAGCCGGCAGTAGCAGCCTCTTGTTATCCGGCAGGCAGATTGGGGGGCCCGTACCCCTGGGAGGAGTCTGGCAGAGCCCCACAGCCCTCCTGGGGGTGTGGGCAGACCCCTGATCTGCCTGCTGGATGACGGGAGGCTGCTCCTGGGGCCAGCAGCAGCACTTATCTTCTCACTGCTCGGTGCGGGCTGTGCCCAGCAGCAGTCCCAGGCAGCAGTAGCAGCAACCTCCTGTCATCCGGCAGGCAGATCGGGGCCCACACCTCCAGGAGGAGTCCAGCACAGCCCTCCCGGGGGTGCGGGCCCCCGGATCTGCCTGCTGGATGACAGGAGGCTGCCTTTGAAAGCAAGTGACAGTTTTGTATGTCAACACCTTGAGGTGCAGTTTCCCAGAAACCTGTGCACCTATCTCTGTGAAACTTTGCAGGCTTCATGCTCTCAGAAGGGGCTACCATCCCTGCAAGTTTCATCTGATTCAGGGAAGAAATGACAAAGTTCTAGGCATTTTCATGATTCCCCATTATAGCCTATGGGTGAAATGTTGAAATGGTGAAACAATTTCGATTAAACGAAACAGAACAGTGCTTTCAAAATGAAACAGTGTTCCTTTGAAACGGGGGTTCATTCCCCCAGAAGGGGCTACCATCCCTGCAAGTTTCATGTGAATCAGGCATAAAATGACAAAGTTATAGGCATTTTTACTTCCCCATGATAGCGTATGGACGAAATGTTGAAACAGTGAAACAGTTTTGACGAAACGAAACAGTTTTGAAACGAAACATAATACTGTCTCGTCAAAACATCAAAATGGAAGTCGAAGTGGAACAGTGCTGTTTTGCAAAGTCCTGTTGAGCACCCCTGCTTTATATTCTTGGAGGGAAAGATAAATAAAGCCTTAATTTAAAATAGCATTTCCAAAACTTGTGCTGCTCACCAGTACTGAGATGAAAGAACTTACTGCTGCTAAACACATTTGGGCCTGTCAGAATAATATGTTTGGGGACATGGTGTTGCTTAATCCCAGGAGACTGTTTCCACTGGGTTCCTCCCACAGTGGAACAAAAAGTAAGGCCTATCACCTAAGGGAGCTGCCCAAATTTTATATATATATATATATATATATATATATATATAAGGCTCCAGTATTGAGTGCATGCATATATATATATCTTGATTGTGTGTGTATATGTGTGTGTGTGTGTATGTATGCAATAGATATATTGTAAAGGACCCAGCATATATCTGTTTGACTTAAGATTGGAGCTTTTTGGCCAGCAGTGCCTGATGAACCTCTGTTTCTGTCATGCATGTTGTTGTACTTATCACCAAAGGTGTAGAGAGCAGTGGTTCCCAACCTTTTTTTGGTGCAACCTGGTGCCGGGAGCAGTGTGTGACAGTGGCGGTGGCCCGGGGACGCAGGAGCTCCCAGCATGCGGCGCAGCTTTTCCTTTGTGTGTGGTGCCACCGGCATTGCCCCGCGACCCTCATTTGAGTCGTAACTTGAGGTTGGGAACCACCGGTATAGAAAGTAAAAGACCTCCTTTTAATTGTATAGGTCAGGAAGGGAATTTCAGGATTCTTTAAATATTTCAGAGGATTATGGGGTGGTCAAATTCCTTTGTGTCTTGCCCCATGGGCTTTAGGCCTATACCTCTGGAACAGCCCAGCAGAACTATGTTGGAATTCATGGGATCCATATTGATCAGGACTTCCCTTATACCATGCTTCAGAATGAGGTTTTCCTTTTCTGCTGTTCCAAAACCTGTTGCTCCTCTCTCTCTCTCTCTCTTTAAATAAGAGTGTGATAATTTATTGCAATTTTCTGAGAAGGAACTTCTTCAGGTTAGAAGAAGGTGGCCCTGGGCTGTATTGTTTTCGTCCCCAGGTGATGTTCTGGTTCCCCTATGCCATCTTATCCTTTCTACTTAGAATGGTGGCAGAATATTCACAGCTTCTTCTAGAGTTGCTGCAAGAATCATCCTTTGAACTGATTAGTACTTACATTTGGCAATGCTGGCACATATGGCTTTCCCTTTTATTTGGACTCTGGTTGACCCTGCAAAAAATATGTGGCAGAAGCCTTCTGTGGTTGCTCTTGAGACCTCTTATTGCAAGAGGATTTGCCAGTTTGTAGATTTTATTTCTATTGGTTCTATCTTTGACTGCCTTTCAGCTTCTTTATCTTAATTCTGTTCCCTTTCTATTGCATCTAAGCAATTTAGCATTGATTATGTTTTGATAAAGCCAAAGGTGTGAGTAGAATGTTAGGTGACTAAATGAGAAAGTGTAAAATCTAAAAAGGTTCTTGCAGCAATAGGTTAATTTATTTCTTTATTTCAGTTGTATTTATTCAGCACTTCAACAAATTTATTTTTTCTCGGCTTCATTTAATCACATTTTATCAATTTGTATAGGTAATTTGTAACAAATCTACAGAACAATGTACTCTGTACACTTAGGTTGAAATTCTAGCAGTATTGAAGTTAGTAACCAACCTCCCACTGACTTCACTGGAACCTATTTTCACTTCCGTTTATCAAGTTCTTTAGAGTTTGTTAAAAAAAATTCTTAAAATAAGCCATAATTTTAGTTCTGGTGTTTCTGTTTTTTGGGGCCTTGCACTTCAAGGACATGGACATTTTGGGAAGAATCCAGGAGGGGGCAACAAAAATGATGAGGGGCCTAGGAAACGACGCTGATGAGGAAAACCTGAAATAGCTAGGGTTACCTGGAAAAGAGAAGACTGAGGGGGCAGATATGATAACAGTCTTTAAATACTCGAAGGATGACTGTAGAGAGGATGGAGGTGGGCTTGCCTCTGGCTGTAGGGGACAGGACTAGGAGCAATGGCCTCAAGCTGCAGCAGAGGAAATTTAGGTTAAAGATTAGGAGGAACTTTTTGACTCTGAGGGTGTTCAAACTTTGGAACAGGCTACCAACAGAAGAGATTAAATCTTCGTACCTGGAAATTTTCAGAAGCAGGTGGGACAGACACTTGCCTGGGATGATTCAGTCAGGGATCTCCTGCCTTGAGCAGAGACTGGACTAGATGACCTTTTGAGGTCCCTTCCAGCCCTACTTTCTTATAATCCTATGATCATACTCTGTCTCCTTCTTGTATGTTCTGATTGTGGGTTCTTATGTACATACTGGGAATGTTCATGTGTTGTAAATTTGCCAAGAGATTAATTTTCAGATTTTTTATGATGTTGCACATGCTTTTATCCTCACAAAGAATGAAGCCTTTGTTAATTATTTCCATGCTGCTAGATGTTACCTCTTCATCTTACTATGAAGAAAAATGACAAAAAACACTGGGGATCACTGGAACATAGTTTGAATTTTTTGAGTAGGAGATATGCTGATGACTAGGGGTCTGTTTTACTAGTGGCAAGAGAAAAACAATTTTTGCAGCTTGGTCACAGCACAAAGAGTTGAATTTGTGGGCATTTCCTGGTGGCCCTGTCTCTTGCTGCTGGCTGGCGGAGAGGCATATACCGTATAATTTAATAGCAAATTCCATGGAAAGTAAACTATGTAATATAATTTATCATCTTATAAATCTAAATATTAAATTTTAATTTAAATGTAAGAATATTATAAATGGCAAGCAATGCTGTTTTTCCTCAATACGACCAGAGTTACGTTGCAAGATGAAAAAAACATTTTACCACCATCTGAATGTAAGGCTCCTACAGGGAACTGCATTGTGTGATCCTGAACTGAACTATATTAAGCTTTTTGATTTCTTTTCACTCATCTTCAGACTGCAGCATTGCATTTAACTTCTTAAAAGTTGTCACTGAAACGTTTTCATTTCATTGACTGGCGCCTTCACTTAGCCTATGCTACTAGCAAACAGTAACTCTGTCATGTGATCTGTGGCTCAATCACATGATCTTTGTGTTGTGGGTAGCATTGGAACATTCAAAACTGTATTATATGAATAATGCACAGGGGTTTTTTAGGTTGATTTCACAGGAAATTACAGCTAATGCAATATTTTCTGGCAATCGTGGACAATCAGTTTTTCACAGTTTCTGTGAAAACTGCAAAACTGCAAATTAAGTAGACCCCTACTGATGACTGAGAACTGATAGAATACTTTATTCTACAATCAGCTTTATTGTCTCGTATCTTTTTTGTGACATCTCCACCAGTACAGCCTAGAATTGCAGGGTAGGTTTTCTTATGCCACT